TTGTTTTAGATACTTCCTTTGCAATCACTTAGGCCCTAATAGAATGTTTTGATTAACCACATACAATTATAAAATTAAGCAACATCCTTTAGTGCCATATAATTCAAATACTAATCTGATATTTTGCTATTTTTAATAAACGGTTGGCTTTTGTTTGAACAACTTTGGTAACAGAGGACATTATTCTTTCTTGTCCCTCACTTATAGGCAATTTCATTTCTCAGAACTCATTTTTCTATTGGCCCCAAATATGCCTTCCTCTAGATTGGAGATTCTCGTTGAGAAAAGGAGTTAGTTTTGTAACTTGATAATGTATGGAAATACTTTTGGGTGTCACAACTTGGGCTGCTGGCACCTTATGGGTAGAGACTAGGATGCTCCTAAACATTCTACAATAATATATGACCTCACATATCAAAGAGTTTTCCAGACAAAAATGTCAATACTGTCAAGGTTGAGAAACTTTGCTCTAGATTCAATCTATTTATCCACAGAGAAAATGTAACTGTTTCCATTAGCAGCCTTTCAGAACTTGGAGACAGCTAACTCTGTGAAGGCTTTTGTATTCTTGGACTATTTTTTCAATTTTCCTATAAGAGTAGCAATTAATGTATGACCTTCCCAAAATCATTTGAGGGGGAATGAGGAATAAATTATTAAAGTACAGCAATGCTTGGTACAAATTGACCAGTGGTGGTTCACAAAATCTACCAGCACTATGGAATTGGGTGGAAGAAGTAAAATAAAACGGTCTCTTTCTCCTTTCCCCCATGTAACTAAAATCCACAAAATGTATTGCAAAGAATTTGGTTTAAAGAGTAATTCTTCCCAGGGATATAATCTGAGAAATGCATCGTATGTCCAAAGTCATGTCATGATAAACTATGTCATAAAAACTGCTGCTCAGAGTTAGAGTTCCTGGGCTGTAGATTGTACTAGAAATCTTGAAAAAGGATATAACTATACCAGCGATGAAAAGGAGATTCAAGACAAACCTCTGACTTTTCTATGAGCTAAACTTTTAGATGCCATTTAACCCAAATCCTCATTTGTTGCTTGGGTCACTTTAATATTCATAGACGAAACAATGACTGGGTAACTTATACTTGCATGTTCCATTGAAAATTTGTTCTACTTAGGCAAGAAAGAATGAGAAAATGTTACATCCTCCAAAAAGAGTCAGGAACATTTTGGGCACATTTCAAGGAACATTTTTGACTGAACCACTTAGGAACTAACTACAGCCTATTCGAAAAGCACAAGCATGAATATTGCTTCTATATAAGAACCACAAAGACAGTTGCCTAGCTAAAGGCAACCAACCTGATTCGCTTCTTGAAGAAATACTATTTTCCCTGAAGTGAGGGGTTTGCAGGCTTATAGAGAAGATTAGGATATAGTATTAAAATGCTTTGAAAAAGAACTTACCAGAGGGATGAATAGACCCCCCAACTCCATTTGCTAATATAGAAGGATTTTGATGCTTTCTTTTATTGAATACTCAATTAAAAAATCAATAGCGTTGCTTTGTGAAGGGACCACCACAGAGTGGTTGTCATCCTTAATTAGAACATTAGGAAAATAATTATCTAGGTCTTCATCAATGGTGATTGGCTTAACCCAGCAAATCTTAAGAACCCTCTCTTCCATTCAAAGCCCTCTCCTATAACACAGCAGGAAATGTCTCCTTTGCTGTATTCCTAAGAATTCCTCTCCTTTAGTTGGAAGAAAAGGAAGCTGTAGAGAAAGTACCCCCTGAGGCAATATGGCCAATAAAGCAACCCAGAGTTTACAACATCTAAACAACTGACCCAGCCACAGAAAGAAGATGCACAAATATGAATCTCTAAAATTCTCTCCCAATTGGCAATTTTGTTACTGAAAATTCTGGGCTTCAGTTAGTGACAATTGAATGACAGACATTTTTTAAATTATAGATTTGTACTCATTTGCTTCTACAGTTTCATCCTCTTCCCTGACCTAATTCAGTTCAAGCAGAAACACTTTCCGGGATATATTGAGGAAGTTGAAAGGAGAAAAGAGAGGATGGCAGGACAACCAGGCACATGCTATCCTCATGGTCATCAGACACCAGGTGCATGATGAGAATCACTCATGGAAACTGAAGAGGGTGAGTAAGAACGATACCCACACAAATCTTCTATAGTGTCTCCCTCATTAATGTACAAGAGTACATTCACCATTAGGAGCCTACTACTTTGGATTGACACTAAGGATACTTTTAAGAATTCTTATTAAAGGACAAATATGTTTGCAAGGATAACATACTTCAATTCTTAGCTGTGTAAAGGCCTCTTTGGACCTCTTTTCATTCATGATGCTTTGCTGAAAGGAAGGTCTGATGTAGAAAGTTTCCTTGGAAGGGTGCCTGGAGGTCACTGTTTAGAGACCATTTGTTCCATCTCCCAGATTTACTTTGTTCTGGGGTGTGGCCTAATCAGAGCCTGAGTAGTCAGGAGGGAATGGAGATCCCTACTCTGTCCCTTTCTCTTTAGCTCACCTCCTTACTCTTGCCAAAGTCCTGTCCCCTTCCCCATAAACATTTACTACAAATTTATGTTCAATATCCTCAGATCCAGTATCTACTTCTCACTGTGGCCCTATCAACCTTTGTCTAATGCAACTTTCATTCTGTCATCTAATTACTGAATTAGAGTAATTGCTATTTCACAGTTGTACTGAACCCCCAGCCAGGCTTTAAATGCCTTGAAGTCAAGAACGTGTTCTATATGACTTTAGTATTCTCTCTAACCCTGTCACAGTGCAGAGCACACATTAGGCTCTTTATTCAGACTGACCTGATGGGGGACCAGCCCATGATCTCATTAGATTGCCTGGCCACTACAAAGGCCACAGAATTGGTTTTAAATGTAGCTTCTCAGCTGACTTTTCCTATAATTTTGGGAACACAATAGTAACCATTTAATGAATCTTATTTTTTGGGTGAAGAATTTTTCATGAATTTTCTCAATTTCTCCTTTCCACACCTTTTTGAGGTAGATTCTCTTTTGCTCATTTTACAACTAACCAGCAAATGGCAATGTTGGACTTGACACCCAGGTCTTTCTGATGTCCAAATCTATACTCATTTTTATATACTAGTTTTTGTTTATTTATAGTGGAGGAGACAAAAACCATATCAGCATTTGTGACTTTATGGTGATTGACTAGATAAATGAAATAAAAAGCCAGGTCCTTTGATGAGTAAGATTAGTGATTTCTTCCCTTGAGGACCAGTAAAGAGTTTTAGAAGCCTACGTTTTTTCCCCCCTTAAACCAGTCTCACTCTTTTGAGATATCAAAAGAGTAAAATTAGGTAAAAAATTTATTTTGCAATATATAGCTTGTTAAATACTTTGGATAAATCATTATGACACATCTGCTCTGGAATAGTGCTATTTACTATGTTGGGATGCATTAATGTCAGAAAAAGCATATATTCCTGTTCCTTACTAACAGTAACATTGTGTATAATATAAATATTTGTGAAATGATTGACATTCACAGATGAAATTGTTATTAAAGTATGGTGGGTATACATCTTAAATTTTCTCTTTTCTCCAATAACAAATTCTACCTCTACTGACCCAAGTATAGAAATAGTGACAAAATTAACATGCTGTGCTTTGAGATGTGCAATATTTTCTATTCATCTAATGAAGTCAAAGGGTGTTTATGAAAAACCAATTATCCTAATTACTTATAATATGACTGTGTGCTCTAAAGAGGGAAAGAAATTTGAAATAGCTCATTTAGAACAACACAGAATAACACGTAGAATTTTAAGTGCTGCAAATCTGGGATATAGAAATAAGGCTATTCCAATGCAAATAGAGCCACTTGAAGTGGGTTTGTGACATACAAAGACAATGTGAGTATCTTTAATGCTTGGGCTTTGATTACAGTAATTTGGTAGGAGGCAAAGTGTATTACTCTTAGAATCATGGACTTTTAATACTGTGACAATAGTGTGCTCACCAGAAAACAAATCGAACTTTAAGTACTGAAATCACATGTGGTAGCTGAAAAAGCAGAAAAGTACAAAAGATCTGAATTCTAGAGTTTGTGCTTCCTACCAATGGGAGTTTTCTTGAGACCAACATCTCTTTGGGAATTGGGAAAATGAGAAGGTTGAGCTGCATGATTTCTCAGTTCTGTTCTGTCTCTGAACTCTATGATTATGTACATAAGCACTGCAAGAATTTGAATGTTTCTTTTTTTCTAAAAAAACCTGAGAATCACTTATCAGCTTTGTATCTACTTTATGTGCTAAGTCTTTTTGTTTTTTGAGGAGAGGGTTAATTATCTGGCTTCTCTGCATACATTTTAAAGTTTATATACTGAGAAGTTCTTTATTTTGTGTCTAAACAAAATGATGTTTTAGTAAAAAATGTGTGTGAATTCAGGGATATTGTACCTTCCTGTTATTGCTTTTATCCATGGCTTGAAATTCTTATTTTATCTTCTATGGATACTCTATTATGGAATTATGTAGCACTATTATTTACTGTGGGCAGGCCATTCTTTCCTGCTTCTTGACTCTGAGCTGAGCCCCGTGGAATTGCTTCAGCTAATGGGATAATAGCAGATATGACACAAGCAGGAGCTTGAAGAGGAATTATACAGTTGAGTTTGCATTCCCTCACAGCCCTGCCATCACTCTGAGAACTTCCATGGGCTAGAGCATTGATTCTAGGAGACAACCTGGGCAAAACCACCCACAGCTAAGCCCAGTCTCCACTGGCTTACTGTAAAGGAGTGAAGTCATTACTTCAGGCTTGTAAACTAATAAGTAATTGGGTCAAACAATTGAATTTCAGGGCATTGTGTTATGCTGCAATAGCTACCTGTGTTATCAAATACTGATAGAAATATGACATCATCCATTGATGAAATTATTAGGATAGCCTTCTTTTGTTGCCCCCAAGACATAAAAGCAAAGAGACACAGCTTTTAGCAGGAATATATGCCAGTCTTACCTGTATGGAAACACTGCTGTAAGAGCCACCAATGACCCCTGCAATGAGCAGAGGGATATTTTCTTGAATGGCATACGATCCGTCAGGACACATATACTCAGCTTCATCCACTTTAGTCAAAGATGCCCTGACAAACTCCAGTGATTGCTCTAAAGCATAGGTATCCCTTGAACATGTATCCAGAATATGAACACCCAATTTCACTCCGGGTAGAAGGTAATTGTCTTTGTTGATTTCATCAATAGCAAACAACATAGCTTCCAGGCGTTGGATCCCTCGATCTTCATTGATTCGCCCACAGTCTTCAGTTCCAGTGCCTTTTTCATTAATAGGAAATAGGCCCCCCAAAACAAGGTCACCTTCTATTTTAATCTCCCTCCTCATAAAGTTATGATCCCCTAAAGAGAGTAAAAATCCCTTTGAAAATAAAGCTAAAGTAAGAACTTGAAGTCTTGTCCACATCTTCATGAATCCTTTTTCTGCGCCTCTGGGAGATATCAAGAGATAGAGCCAACGGCGCCCACTAGTTCTCCTTTCTCATTTCCAAACTGGATCTTTGTCTTGGCCTTCATGTAAGGGAGGATCAGACTAACAGCGCCTGTCACCAAATTCCTAAAGAGATAAAAATTATATGAACAAATATGGTAAAGAAAGCAACAATGATTACATTGATGATCTCCCATCAGAAGTTTGATGGACTAATGACTCAAATTGCCATACCCAAACACACACTTCACCATGGCCCAGACACTGTCCCACAGGTATGCCTACCAGGTCCTCATAATACATGATGGGGTGGACTTTAGTGGTCCCATCTCACAGAAGTGGCTGGAGAGGACTAAAGAGGTAAAGTGATTTGGCCAATGTACTTAGATTGGAGATAGGGTTCAGACTCTTGTTCTAATGCCAAGTCCAGTACCCTACTCAGTCATTTACTTTCATTTTGGTAGGACAACAACCTGTATCCCCTCTCATTCAGCTTCATGTGTAAACTTGCCCCTTTTGTGGACTCTTGGCCTTTCTATTTGGAAACAAAACACAAAATTAACTCTGTTACCAAGTCAGCACTTTTACCACCACATCCCTCTTCCCCTCTTCATACATGAGCTCTCCAAAGCAATCTTTGTGGTGTTGCTCTGCTTCCTCTCATCCTAGATGCTCTCGGCCCTCTGTATTCAATGTTCTGTCTTCAGCCAGGTGAGGTGGTGCATACCTATAATCCCAACAACTTCTCAGTGGTTAAAAAAAAAAAAGATAAAAGATTCTGTTCCTACTGCTATAATAAAATGGTTTTGGAAAAAGCTACTATTCAACTAGATTCTACATTGAAAAAAAAAAACCCACTCTACTCTTCATTTTACCTGGGCTTTATGGAAATCTTGATTATTGTCTACATGTTACAACTCCTAGATTTCTGTTCTCATGCTTCATTTCTGGGTACATCTCAAATTCCATTGCTGAACAGCTGCCCTCCCCTTTTCTCTCAACTCCCTATGCTGGTCTAACTCATTTTTTTTATAGTTTCACCACCCACTTAAATGAGCTCCAAATTCCTTGGTCATCTGCTTGCTAAACAGTTTTACCCACACATCCTTTGGACACCTCAAGGTCCACATGTCATAAACTCTCCCTTATCTCTGAGAATGGATCTTCTCTGTGTCCAGGCTCTCAAGTCAAAAATCCACACTCCAGCATCCTCTCCATTTCACCTTCTTCTACCCTCTTCCTATTGGCCACTAATCCCTGAAGAGTCTGCCTGTTTAACCTCTGCCAAAGCCATTGCCTCTTCCCTATCCTCATGATGCCAGGCTCTTATCAGGATCATGGCAATAGATTCTATAGAGCTGCTGGCAGCCCAACAAAGCACTGTTTTTATGAATTAAGATATCACTTTTTCAGGTACAATTTTTAAATTTATGGTACAGCTATAGATGATGAAGTATGATTGCTGGTCATGTAGCCAGTGTCACAGGCAGTTCCTGGTGTGGCCTCACATTTCAAGATATGCAATAAGTGCTAGTGCTGGGGTTTGCAAAGTAGGTTGTAGCTTGGGACAGGGTAGAATGTATGTATCCACTGTGAATTAGGCTAAGCTGTGCTGTGAAGATCATGCTTTTGAGAGTAGTTGGGGTCTTCTCATGGAGCTTTCCAAAACACTGGAGCTGGCCAATTCCATGTGCACATGAACCCATGAAGCCATGGTATTCTCAGACACCCAGCTCCCTAGCACTAGAGCAAACTTTTGGTCAGTTCACACTCTTTCCTCCCTCCTGCAAGGTGAAATGTGCTTACTGTTTTCAGAGTCATGTGAGAGGTGTGTCAGCCTGTGATTTCGGGAGCATTCTCCTGAGAGGGTGCAGCCACCTGTCCCTGAGTGTGTGGTCCAGTTGGCCTGTCTTTTCTCCTACTTTTATGTGTGATTGTATATTGTTGGGGCTTTAGGAAGAAAGGGCCTCTCCTATCTGCTTCCAGACTCAATCAGGATCCTGGAAGCCACACCACCACTTGTATGCTCCCAGATGAATTAGCCAATGTTAACAATCTGAATAGAGTCCCATTGGAGGAGCCGCTCTAATGCACAGTCTTAATTACTGCTTAGAGTGGCCCGTCTCCTGTCAGACTCTACCGATCTTTCCTTGCCTACAGGTTTAAGAATTGACTTCTTGTAAGCATTTCTCAGTGCTCCATGAGCTTGTTCCTGGCCAGCTGTCAAGCTTTACTGCTCATTGTGCTCATCAGCCTTGTCACCCCTCTGCCTTTAAATCCCCAGTTCCAGACATAGAACTGTGTAGACTTCAGTGGATGCTCATGAGCTGATGACCCCTTGCTCCCACCCATGCTGTTGCCTTTGCTAGGAATGCCCTTCTATACTCATTTGTTGGCAAACACATACTTGTCATGTAGGACTCAGAAGTCTCTGCCAAGAAAGTCTAAGTATTCTTTCCTCTCTCTTCCCCAGTTAAATTGTTTATTTCCTGCTTTATATTCCTGCTGTAGCTCCTTCAAGAAATATCTGCTATTGCATTATAATTCATATTGTTTCCTGTACGTGCTTGTGGGAATAAATGAAATGTCACAGCATTTAGGATTATTTAGGTACCAAGAACAAAAACTCTCAATGAAAAAAATTGAGACAGGTACTAGTCCACTGTTTACTTCAACATTTTTGACATTTCTCCCTTCTCATGTTAGCAGTGCCCTTTAAAACCCAGCTTTCCACTTGCTTTCTGTTCCTTTCATGTGGAACAAATGATGAGTTGTTTTCTTGAGACACACAGTCAGCTGGGCTTTGCTTTGTTTATTTATTTAGGTGTGAATCTTGGCACTGAGGGCGGCTGCAGTCCTTGGAATGCTCAATGTTAACTCAGGGCATCTCTAGGATTCCTGCCACAGGACACCAGGAAGTCTAATAATAATAATTTTTTAAGAAGTTGATACTGCAGCACCTTTTTTACTTTTTCTTTTTCACTTTTTTTTTTTTTTTTTTTGGTCTTGTATCAATTTCTGGTCTCTCTTTGATCTTTATGTACAATTCCCTTTGAAGTGAAACAGCCTTGGATGGAAGGCAAAAGATACTGATCATTATTGCTAATGATAAAGATGCAGAAATTGCTCTACAAAATCATTGTTTTATTTGCCTAATAACAGAGAACAGTTAACTGGAAGAAAGTCAATAACTCAGGGCTTACCATGTATGTTTATTAAAAATATAGGCATCTCTTGAATATGAAGAAAGTTTGACTATTCTGACTATTCATAGAGTAAAGATGACCTGATAATCTATAGTAAACTTATTTCTCTGTTAGGAAAATGCCTTAAGTCAAAGAAGACTTGAAATGAAGTGCTGCATTACAGTAATGGTAGAAGTATATATTGATCTATCTGTCTTACAGGTGGGGGCTGTGCTTATTTATCTCTATATACCTCGGAGCTGGCATAGTGGCTGCAATCCAGAAGATATTCAACAAATGTTTCTTGAAAGTAGATATCAATGATAATTACATCTGCAAATAACTCTTTACTATTTAATTCCTGGCTTGGGAAATGGGAGATTAAAGAAGGGAAATGGGTTGTTTTTATCTCATTACACACCTAATTGCCCCAGATGATATTTCTTTATTGTGTTCTTTGATGGAGAGTGCCAACAGGTAAATATTTAGAAAGTAATATTGTAGCAGTTGAGCATCCTTAATCTGAAAATCTGTAATGTGATATCCTGCAAAATCTGACATGGTAGCACAAAAGAAAATTACAAACCTGACCACATGAAATGGGCCACACTCAAAGTGCAGGCACACTAAACATTATGTAAAATTACTTTCAGGGTACATGCGTAAGGTGTATGTGAAACATAAATGAATTTCATGTTTAGACTTGGGTCCTATTCTGAAGAGATCTCGTTTTGTATGTATTATATGTATAATAAATTTTAAAAATCTGAAATCTGAACAATTCTAGTTTCAACCATTTCTGATAAGGGTTTTCAACCTGTATACATGGAAAAGAAAATTCTTCCTCTGATTTTGGAAATTGCATTTGAGGGTAAGTTCCTGTGAAGCTACAAGGTATGTGGCTGAGAACTGGCCTACATTTACATCTGTGATTTTGGTCAGGAGAATACTAAATTAAAAAAAATGCATAATATCTTATCTCAAAGCCTCAGAGATACATTCATTCATCAAATATTTATTGAATTCCTCCTATATGTGTGCTAGGCCATGAGCTAGATACCAAGAATATACACTTCAATTATAGACAAATAAGCATTATCCCTAATGTTAAATAACATTCTAAATGCTTAGACATTTTTTATATAGAGTGATGGAAAAGTGTTCAAATAATTCCCTGATTTTTGAAATACTTGAAAGTAAGTATACCATAGATTTACTGTTACTAAGAGCTTGACTAAAAAAGCAATCCATTCATACAACATATATTAAATAAATTTAGAAATTAGATATGCTTGGGGCTGGGATTGTGGCTCAGAGGTAGAACACTTGCTTACCCTACGTGAAGCACTGGGTTCAATCCTCAGCACCACATGAAAATAAAATAAATCAAAATATTGTGTCCGTCTATAACTAAAAAATAAATATTAAAAAAACTAGATATATTGGCCATAAAACATTGTTATTATGACTGATAACAATGTCATGTAACATTTTTTAAACCTTCTGACAGGGCTATCTTCAAGTAATGTTTAATGTAGTCTTACAGAATTACAAATCAAAAATCAATTAGAGTAATATTTAACTATACTGTCTTAGTATTTTCTTATTTACCTTTTCCTTAAAGTAGAATTTATAATGATTAAGACTGCAGGACTATATATAATTTAGAAATATTTAGTAGTATTTAAAATGAAGCCCTAAGAAACTGAAAGAAGAAAAAATTAAAATTTAACATTGAAAAAAATAGACAAATATGCCTAATTCAATGCCATTGTTTATCTCTGTGTAATAGCTTATCGGATTGTGGAAAAGGGCACCAACCACTTCTTTTCAGGTTCCTTTCATTATAAATCAGCTGGCAGCACATTCCCCAGATAAACAGACTCCCTCCTGCAGCCACATTCATATGCAGCTGGAGAATTGCAGCTCTACAGTCAAAGT